GCAGAAGTGTGCTGGGGCAGAGTCGTGCCAAATAAAGCACCGTATCGCCATCCGCGCAATGCCGAGGTGGGCTGCCGCCAGCCTCAGCTCTCAGCTGTCGCGCCCGGGCAGCGCTGATAAAGCCCTGCTCTGCCTGCCCTTATTTAGTCAGGAGGCTCTGCTGACTCCAGCGATTTCGGGACGTCATTTGCACCACACGCCCGCACTCCCCGAGGAGCCGGCCGCTCGCTGCCGGCCGGCCACGCAGCTGGGAAATGCTGAGCGCAGGGAGACAGCGGCAGCGCTGTCGGGAATGCAGCCGGGCAGGGGAGGCTAGGAAAGCGATACTGGAGCCATCAGGCACTCTTGTTATTTGAAAGGAGAGCTAAGACATGCCCCAAACACATGGGTATGGAGAGAACAACTTAAGCTTCAAAACCAGGCAACAGCTCACACGGTGAACGATGCCCACGTGTCGCTGCCGGGGAAGCCGCACCGACGTGATTCCTGATGCCAAGCGCTCACTACAGCTCTGCAGGGCTTTAACACAGCCCGTGCTTACCACTGTGATGAGCAGACCCTCCGTTAACAGGAATTAATGCCTAACGTTTCAGAATGCAGCTTAGAAGTTCTTACAGATATCTGTCCAAACACCAGTATCATAGGACCTCTATAGATATTACATTAAAACCAAAAATAAATTCAAAATGTATTCTTTAGTTGTAGTCTCCAGGCATAAGACACCCAACTGCACAGAAGCTTCAGGGTCAGCATCTGGAGACAACAGGTGAAGCCCAGCAGCCATTCCTGCCTCTTACACCTGGCTTTCCTATTGATCCCATGGCATCTGGCCATATCGGACATACACCCGTCAAACGATCTCAGAGCGTGGCCAGACCCGTGCCTTGCAGGACACACGGCCAAGTCCCTGCATTGATTTTGGTCCAAGTCACTGGGAAGCACAACCCCGTGCAGAGGCAGACCACGGCAGACGCTGTTGCAGTGGGATGGTGGTTGGATCTCCAGTATTGACACTCATTTTGTCCCCCAAAAGCACCAGTGAGAAGGAAATCCCCCATACAAGCTGCGCAGCTACTGAGCACACAGCTTTCAAAAAACCAAAGGTTCCCCCTGCAGCTGGTCCTGCCCTTCCTCTTGCTTTTTTTAAATTTCATTGTATTTATTTTATTTTAATCTGTTCTGAAGAAATGAAAGCCAACCACTTCCACACTCCTCCCTGCTTTCAGTGGGACCGTTCTCCCCACGTGACAGGCAAGCACATACTGCACAGACAGCATCCCAGGACCCTACCGCCTTTCTCACCCACCCCAATACTTTTTCAAAGCAGCCCCTAGATGGGATGGAGGGTGGGAAAGGGGGAGGCTGGGGGGATACAAAGGGTGCCTTCACCTGGCACCACAGGACCAGCCATGAGCTGGGGGAGGATTCATCACACTTTAACTTCCATCAGCTCCATCCTATTAGCTGATCCCCAGCGCTGCCGAAAAACATGCCCAGGGCTTCTGCCTGACCTCTGAGCAGAGCCAAGGAGCTTTCCCTGGGGTGTGGGGAAGCTGGCTGGGCTGGGCTGTCTAGAACAGTGTGATCCCATGCCAGATGATTTTCACTAAAATAATGAAAAAAGAATTAAAAAAAAAAATCCCTGTTCCCTCAGCCAGCGGTGAGGCGATGCCAGCTGTGTCCTCAGCCTCTTGCACAACGTGGAAAGCAGCTGGATTGCCAGAACGCCCAGACCCAAGCGGACAGGGACAGGAGCTGCAGAGCAGCTTGGTGCCTTGGCCGGCCTCGCAGCAGAGAGCGGGACGGGGGAGGCTGGCCATCATCCCCCACCGTCACTGCCCTCCCGCCCGTCCCCGCAGGGCAGATCGCAGACAGGGCTCCCATCGCACACTGCCGGCAGCCTCGTGCCTGCACACCCCCAAAACTTGGGCACGTGTCTGGGATTCCTGCAGTGCAGCTGGCTGAGGCAGCTTCCAGCGCTTGGGCTTGTTTTCCTCTGGATTTCTGTCTTAAAGAGCCTTTTATGGTGCAAAGGAGTGAAATCTGGTCTTCTCCTGCCGTTTCGCTCCCAGGCAGTAGCAGGCTGGCTGTGACGGGGCTTTAGCTCTGCAAGGGGCTCCCCAGGTGCCAGAAGGGATGGAACTCCGACACCCCCAGGCAGCAGCGCAGGTATGCACAGTCGGGGGTCTGCGCAGCCTGGCTGCTGAGTCCCGCTAACGAGTTCCTAGTGATAATCTCATACACAGATGTGTCACGTCTTCCCCCAAAAAAGGATTTGTGCAGGCCTCAGAGACATTTCTGGGGGTAAGGTGCACACTGCCATCCAAGGTATAATATAGATGCTCTGTCTAGAAAATGCCATCTCGTAGTGATGAGCCAGGGCGATGCCAACGACAGCACAGCCCTTTCATAAACCACAACAATTGATTTTCACAATCTGCCTGCAATTCCTCTGTCCTGTGTGTGGAAACTTTCTCAAAGTCAAAGAGAAAGACAGTGGCAGAGCTGGGATTTAACTGAAGGAACCTGTCGAGGCAAAATTATCTGCATTTACTTCTGACCCTAAAGCTGAGCTGAAAGGAGGAGGAAGGAGAGCACGAGTCAGATTTTCAAAAGGCAGCAGGTAGAGAGAGCAGCTCTGCCCAGAGAAGTGTACACTAGGAATAAACGCTGATGGAAACAGTGAGTTATAGTTTACAGGACGGAGGAGCCCGAATTCTCCTCCCCGCAGCAGCTCCAGCCCAGCTGCTGGCAGCGCCGCAGGAACGGGACCAGGGGCACGGGGGGCCTGCCTCCCCTTCCCCTGCCACCACACCACCACAGGGGCTGCTAGGGGAGGGCTCCTTGGAGGAAAATGGCTTTAACGTCTGATTTCCTCCAGCTCTGAGGTTTCCTTAATAGGAAATTATTCCCCAGCCGCGCCAGGGAGGGATGCAGTCCCCGGTCAGGGCAGCGGCGCATTCCAGCCCCTGATGGAAAACACTGCAGAGCCGCTTTTGATCCAAAGTGTAAATAGTGTATAATAAAATGAGGCTTGTGTAAACCGGCCGAGCTCTCAGGAGCAGCTTTTGCAGCTCCAGCCTCCTTATTTACATGCACCCAGCACCACGGCCTCATGCTTTTCCCGGGCACAGCAAAGCCGGTGTCGGGCTGCATCTGCCCTGCCAGGAGGCTCTGCCGGGCCCCCCGCCGCCCCAGCCGGTTATTTTTATCCTTGCTGGCCCTGCACCGTGTTTCACTTGCAATCCCGTTGTTTTTTCTCCACCAGTCTCCGAGGCAACTGGGTTTTGCTAAAAAAACAATCACGCTCCCCGCAAGACTTTGGAGTGGAATTGGCCACCAGGAGAGTAAGGTCGGGGTGTCTCGGAGGGGATGGGGTTTGGGAACAAGGTGTGTTTCCCATCGTTCGTATTTCCCATCTCTGGTGGGTAATGAAGTAACTTTAACAATTCAACAGCACCAAAGACGAGCAAGGCAGGACAGCCCTGGAGCCCTAGGCACTGCCCTGCAGCTGAGCAAAGCTGGATGAGGATGGAGAGGCAAGGTGAAACCTCAAGGTCTCTCACAACCACGTTTCTCTGAGGAGGAGAAGAGGACTGAAGGCTCCAGCCCTGCCTGATGATCTCTGGTCTGTGCCAGGCAAGCTCCGGACAGGCAGGAAGGCTGCGGGACAGGCAGGAAGGCTGCGGGAGGAGGAGTGCGCTGCCTGCACAGCACAGCAGGGACGGGAGCAGATTTTCTCCTCCCTTGCTGGGCAGCCCCCAGAGCCCCTCTATTATCTCCTCCCTCCTCCACGGTGGGAGGGGCAATGGAGCAATTAGCATCTTCCTCTCCAGCTAATTTCTAACACAGCTAATTCTGAGCAGAGCCCCCCTGTCTGGTCCCAATGCACCAGATGGTGTTGGGGTGACACAGTGCCCGGCGGTGCCCGCGTCTCTGCCAGCACAAGGGACACCGGTGCCATGAGGGACTGACCTGTGCTCGCAGCAGCCCCTTGCACACGCCTGCGGTACCAACACCAGGCACGCCACAGCCCCCTTCCCACCTCCAGCGTCTGGCCAGGACAAAGTGGGGGGATAAAAGGGGGCAAACCATGCTGAGTCTTCCCCACTTCCCCCTTTCCCAGCATCCCAAAGCATCGCGGGCTGCGGGGTCAGGCTGTGTGCCCTGGGATCGGGCTCAGCCATCCACCGTGGGCTCAGCCATCCACCCTGCCTCCGGCCGCCATCTCCCTTGTGGCAGAAACACACAAAACCTGGCCAAGGGCAGCTGGGTCTTGGGGAGCAGACAGGGTTCCCCAAGGCAGCCCCCTCCTCAGTTTGGTACCTGCCTCCCGGTCTGCAGCATCCCAGCAGAGCAGTGCTTCTCCCAGTGAGCCCATTAAACCAAGACGCTCAAATTAAGCAACAATCCTAGTGCATCCCATAAACCCCCCACAGAGCCACACTGGGGTCTGTGGGGCCGAGCCATGCTCTGCTGCACACCTGGTTTGTCTGGGACATGTCCCGCTGGCTGCTCGCAAGCCTGTTGGATTTACCACAGTCAAACCCCACGGTTTGTCACCCTGTCCCATCAATGACACCCAGCAGCTCCAGCAGCCAGGCATGGCACCAGGCTGCTCCCCATCCTACCAGCTCCCATTCAGCATCCCTGCTGACCACTGCCTCCCTCCCTGGACCAGGGCAGGACAGGAGAGGGGGTGAGAGGGAGGACAGGTCCCAAACACCCCCAGGCTGCTGAGGGCCTTCAGCCCTGCTCTGCCAGTATTTTGTAGAAATAATTAAATGGAAATTGCAGGGAGCTGCACTGAACCCCAGCACTGGTGTGTGGCGAGGAGGCAAGCAGCACAGCACCAGAGGGACACGTGGGATGGGGACCACCACCACCATAGGGACCTGGTGGTGGGTTGGAACTAGATGATCTGTAAGGTCCCTTCCAACCCAAACCATTCCATGACCCTGTGATTCTATGACCTGCGTGTTGGAGCCCTGAGTGCCTACCTGGACGCCGCGATCTCCGACTTCTGCCGGGCAATGGCCGCAGCCCTCTGAGCCCCCTCCACACTCCTGTCCACCTTCTGCCGGATCTTGGCGCTCTTGAGGGGTATGACGCGCTTCTTCATGCCCTTGACGAGGACGTTGTGGCGGTACTTGCCCTCCTCCTT